TCGGGTTGATGCTCATTTGGCCGTTGTCTGGGCGCCCAACGTCTGCTTCTCTCGATGAAATGCCTGGGATAACCGTTGGCTGCAAATAGGTCCACAAGGTACAATCGTTCGGCCCTTTTATCTTCTGGTGTGCTGCCGTGTGTTTCGACTCTTTGGAATAGAGTGCGAACACAACTACGTTTGTGAGACAGTGTATGGTTGCTGTTGACGTGTAGGATGTGTCTTGTGTCGGTGGATTTTCGGAATACTGTAGTTTGCAGCTGTCCAGTGGTACACCGGCGCACAAGTTCGTCAAGGAAGGGCAGTTGGTGAGAGACAAACCACGAAATCGCGTTCTTCGACGCCCTTCTTCATTGAAAAGCGAAAGGATCTATCCACAGTAGGATGTTCCGAAAGACAATCTGGACGGGACGACATATCAGTTTTGTCCCCATAAATATTAAATGCTCTTTGATCCAGAGTGCGGCATGCCTATTCTCTCGTGACCGTTGCATCAGAACTCCTGTAGCTGCGAAACATCCTCCGCGAAAACCTATATCCAGAAAGACTCCACCGAAATATTGGGGACGTACACCAAAGCATACCATTGGTCACTGCAGAGAAGAAAGGCTTGTTTGTAAGGGTATTTTTTCTAGGGGACGTAGCAATCAAGCTAGTTAGACGACGTATAAAGGCAGCATTCACTAGCGCTTTCCCCGCCGCGTCCTTACGCGTATGTTTCACAAAATCTTCTCTCCTACACTTGGAGTGTAAAGACCGACTACCGTTGCAGGCCAAATCAATGTGTAATTAATTAGTCACCTGCTCCTGTAGAGCAAGATACATTGGCCGTACAACGAGATGCCTGGAAAGCAGCGTACGTGAACACATGCCGGCCTGGCTACGCAGAAGTGAAAACAGATCGATTTCGGGTTCTATTCTCACATATCTTGTCGATGCAAATCACCGAGTCGATGTCAAAGAAGCCTTTCACGTTGTCCACTGTACTCTAGCAAACTTCCCTAAAGGCATACGCCAACGGGCGCTACATACAGTCGAGGCAGTGGCTATACGGCTATCGAATCCAGCGCTATGTTGTCAGAAGACGTTGACACAGGCGTTCTGTCTTCCATGGCCAACGCCGACCCAAGACGGCCAGCGCGCGCAGCCCCAACCCTCTGAAAGCCCTGATGAGCACTCGACTTACAAACAGCCTATTTCACCCCCTTGCCCCACTGAGTATTACACGCTGACCTCGTCATGCGAATCGGGTGAGAACGATGACTGTTAATAACCCCTGGGTCACTTATATACCCTATAAACATATCCTATTTTCAGGTCCTATTTTACTGTTTATGTCTGATGATGTGTTACCGAAAGCCTGTGTTTGGCATCTTGGCTTTTCGAAGTTGTAATCGTTTAATAGTAATCATTTACACAGAGGGCAAAAAGTATGTTCAGGCGTCATATGGAGATGTGTGCGAAAGACAGACATCAAAATAATCTAGAATAATTATCAACCCAAGTGCATTGAGGGAGAGCATTATTCACTACAGTGCACAAGGCATTCCCAACAAGGCTTTAAGCCATAATAGCCCGACTAGTATGCTGCGGGAGCATTTAGAAGATGATCGTATGCGAAATCTTTCCAGACTTCCTGTAGGATCGATGCTTAGATGAAAGACGCCTTCTCATGCCAAACAAAGACGACACGTTGTGAAGGACTACCAGCTTTAAAAAAGAAGTTTCATATCTTTTCACCCAACTGTCCGAGGTCGAAAGAGTCATTTGGTGAAGCATCGTTTTGAAAACTTGAGCTACATTAGTCGAATTCTATCATTGTCGATCCTTTCAATCTATGTTAGATACATTGGAAATACCAGGGGTCCTCATATACAAACCTACTGACGACGGACAAAGATTTTAATAAGACGAAGTTATTAAAGTCCAAAATATACCAACTTTCCTTCCTGAAATACATTTTAAGTGTGTTGCTAGTTGCCAGCATTGGGTAGAAATCTGTTGTCGGTAATCGACCATGAAAACGATAATTTTGAGAATGTGTTCACCATGAGTAAGGGATATTTTGTTTAATATTCTGAAATGTCTTTCTCGTGCAGGATTTTATCATCAGATGTGATGAAGCAGCAGTCATAGGCTACTAACCAAGCAGCAGTCGGTGGATGTGGCTACGCAGAGTTCTGCACGATGGCGTCAGATCAATAAATTGATTGACTGAGTTCTCGTCCGAATTCCAGACTTCAATCACCTTTCGAGTTGTCTTGCTTTAAACGAGAACAATCATACTGATGGCTGTGAAGTTTGATTCATAACCTTCTTCGAAGCTTTGCGCAGACATTCACGAAAATTCTTCGTTCCGCTTTTATTCGTGTATGCCCCATCCCTGCATGTTGTGTTCGCCATTGTCAGTGCCTTGTTTTATAACGGCTCATACGATTTTCGGCTCTCCTATATTGAAAAATGTGCTCTCTTTACTTATATGCTTAGTGTTAGCGTGCACTATAAAGTCACGGATAACGAAAAATGGGCCCCGTTATGCGGTATTATAATAAGAATGTATCTTTGTTCTATAATGTCGGGCAAGGTTCAAAATCTAAACCCTTCTCAGTCGGAAATTTACAGTTAAGAAATATACTCATTAATGAGGGATGGCCTTATAGGGTTCGTTTCTGATATTGCCGTTCTTTCACGTGTTCTGAAGAGCATTGTGGGAATGCGTTAGGCTAGTGTTCCGGTTTGTCACGTTCTCTGCAAACAGGAGAAGATGGGGTTGATTTCTTGGGATGGATGGTTATATTTAATCTTAGTAAAAGTCCAGCTTGCGTCCGGTAGTTGTTTGAACAAACAGAACTGAGCATAAACTAAAAAAGTAGATACTCAAAGGGGTGGCGGAACATCCATTAAGTGTGCGGAAAAAGATCTCAAATGGGCGCAGAAAGTCGGCTGACAGTCTGCTTGAAGTTTTACGAGATTATCAACGAAGTCAGTGTGCAACCCCTTCCAAAGGTCGTCTGTCGTAGCAGGCATTGGAAATTTCCTTTGCGTCTTGACCGAAAAATGGTTGACTCTGAAACCGAAACACCTTTGGTCACAAATCGCTCCCGACGTTATGCAGGAGACGGGATGGCTTTCGTGGATTCCAGCGATTAGTGTGATTTAAGCAATTCAATTGTGGTCTCGTTAGATGTCGCATCTCTGTCTATCACTGTGCGTCCAGTCACAACCACCCACACAACGCTTATGATGGGTAAAACTTTTAAGCACTTTGAAGAGGCTATCTTTGAGATGCATTCTTAATACCTAGTTCGGACTCAGTCACAGATAACTTGCTGAAGCCTTTAAGGAGCCGCTGTCAGAATCCTTTCTAGAGGACAACTTTGCAGTATAATCAAATGCCATTAACTTAAGTGAGTTCGCCAAAAATGTGCACTATTAAGGGGAATACGTTGACGATGTCCTCGCAGAAAATAAATGGGAAAGTTTATTTAGAAGAGATGCTTCAAAGAGAACATAATGTGCATTCATCTAAAATCTTTAAGATAAAGGTCGGAAGGACTAGTCAGCGTTCTTTTTTGGCGTGTCGCGATCAGTAAGACCAGGCGGCTTGGTCATAAGACACATCTTCTACACGAAGTGGTAAAGAGGGTCAGGCACTAATTCTCGGGTCTTCAAACCCTGACCCAACAGTTTATCTTCGAATGCTGTTTAAATTCCTTTGGTAGTCCACTGCCGCGACCGCTTACACATTACTGTCTTCGGCCTATCTATTATCCCCTTTCAATTCGCTGCTTGAGTCGCGAATGACCTGGCACCTTTGTAAAGGAGCTTAACTCCAGCACCGTCATCTGAGTGGCTAGGCATGGACAAAGCCCACTCGCACTCATGTAGTTGGGCCGCTTATTTCCGCATAACACAAGGTCAAATCATATTTCGAATGTGACTTTCTATGTCGGTGGCTATTATACATTTGCAATCACCGGACTACGAAATGACGAAATGTTCACTAAAGCTGTCTTCTGAATATCGCTCAATTGTGCTCTAAATAAACAGAAATTTGTGCAAGTTAAAAATCGCCACACTTTCGAACTACAGGTAGGACGGCACAGCTATTCGGATCGCCATCTCAAACATATTTAGATTTTAGAGTTGCAAAACTTCCCATTGAAGAACTCAAAAGATAGTTTGGCTAGCATAAGTAAGCATTCGATAAGCTCTCATCAGGCCTATACATTTGTATTGCTGATCAGAAGAAGAAGCGATCGCTGGAACAATGGCTTTATTCGCCTGACGTTTCGGATTCTCTCTTGAATCCATCATCAGAGACAGTTGCAGAAAAGGGTGGCTAGTGTACAGAGAGAGAGAGAGAGAGGAATGCGCTTTATTTTGAAATCGTAAGTTCAAAATTTTCAGCGTACAGGAAGTCACAGTATTTATAGGATGCGGTCGCCATGCTACCGCATACCTACAGCCATTAACCGTGCTCCCGTCATCAAGGATTGTTGCTCGCTGGTGCGCTAATTGCTTGATGGCCGGCATGCAAGTTGTTAATTGTTGACATCTCATCACCCGTGTTGGATGCTGGCGTGATGATTGCTCGGCCATCTGGCTCACGTGCTTGCGCGCTCCTCGAGTGGTCAATTGCTTTGGCCAGTCTTTGCCTCAGGACAGAATATGGAGTGGGGATGCCAATGCACTTGTTGATAGACTGAGGTCCCGTGAACCATGACACAAGCAACTCGCGGCTCACGCGATTATCCACTCTCGTGAGCATTTCGGCCCCATCGAGTTTGAATGTGTGGCCGGATCTCGTCGAATGGGCCGCGGCCTGAGAGTTGGCGTCATTTCGCCGTACAGCTGTAACGGTAAACACGGAGCTAGCGAGACGCGCAGTATTTCAGCATGGAAGACGTATGATTCGCGTGCTCCTTCAAGATTGCCATGCGAGACTACGCAAATAGTGTCAGAGAATTTAACAAGAGAAGGCCAGATGCTGCGAGTTCATGGGCGAGAACGGCACAAATCTGCTTCAGCAGAAAGTGACTGAACGAGCCCGCGAACAGACAGCGACACGCGATGCAGCACTGGGGAACAAATTCCACAAACTGCCTGATCCAACGTCATCCAGAAGCGGCACACTGGTGCACAACCTGTCGTCAAAGGAACTGACGAAGGAGCAAGCACAGGTTGTACGGCACGAAGCCTCATTCAACACAGCTGACGCCAAACCTGTCAACATGATTGCAGCAGTGGAATCGGTCATTAATCAGACGGAAGCGGCGGAGAAGCCGAAGATTCTTATCAGACATCAAGTTACGTCCCTCCTCATGACTCACAAGCCGCGCGAAACACTCACAAAGGTCGAACGCGATGCACTAAGAGAACTCAAGGCCGACAAGGACATCGTCATTGTGCCCGCGAACAAGGGGCGTTCCACCGTCGTATTGGACAGAACAGACTACCTTCAGAAGGCCAAAAACTTACTGGAGGATCGCCAGTTCTATGTCCCATGTGAAACCAACCCCATAAAAACGCTGACACGCGAAATTAATGCGACACTGTTGGCACTGGAGAACTCGGGTGCAATAACACCAACCGACCGACGCATGGCGAGAGCCCAAGAAACGGCTTTGGCCCGATTCTATGGTCTCCCAAAGGTGCACAAGGAGGGCGCTCCTCTCCGGCCCATTGTATCACTCAAAGGCACTCCAACGTACGGACTGGCAAGATGGCTGTTTCGGCGCCTCAAATTTCTGACCGCTGATTCGGAAACCACGGTCTGTTCCTCAACGTAATTCCTGGAGAAGCTTAAAGGAGTAAGTCTCTTGCCCAATGAGGTCATGGTATCTTTTGATGTCACGTACCTCTTTACTTCTATCCCCCAGGATCTGGCAATCGAGACCGTCCAGCTACTCCTACAAAACAAATACGATGAAACGGAGAATCGTCTCGGACATGCCCAAGTCCTTCAGCTCCTAAAATTCTGTCTCAGGACGTACTTCACGTTTGACGGAACAATCTACGAGCAAGTGAAGGGAACACCAATGGAGTCGCGGTTGGAGTCGCTGGTCTTCCAACACCACAGACCGAAATTCTGGGTTCGATATGTAGACGATACTTTCTTCGTTATCCATCAGGATCGGGCGCTAACGTTCAAAGAACGTCTCAACAGCGTCTTCCCGGACATACAATTCACGATGGAGGAGGAAGAGAATAACCAGCTGGCATTCCTTGATGTACTCGTCTGTCGCAAAGATTGTGGTGGCCTAAAGATCAAAGTGTTCAGAAAAGCAACAAACACGACGCAAATTCTGAATTTCAACAGTAACCAACCAATCAGCCACAAACGAAGTTGCGTAAGAACGCTATTTCGGCGTGTTGAGACGCACTGCAGTGAACCGGAAGACAAGGTTGCCGAATCCCAATATCTTCGACGGGTTTTCCGAGAAAACGGTTACCCGCGCAACTTCGTCAACCAGTGCCTGCGCAAACGAGACGAGCGACAAAATCGCGCCGACCCCAAATTCTGGCGAGCGATCCCGTACATCAAGAACGTCTCCGAGGCCGTTAGCCGCCTTCTTCCACCACTTGGGGTTGGAGTTGCGCACAGACCGGAGGCCACCATGAGGCGTCAAGTGATGAGGCCAAAAGACCCACTGCCACGGCAAGAAACATCTGGAGTCGTTTACCGGATCTGGTGCAGTTGCGGACAAAGCAACTACGTCGGAGAAACTGGAAGACTGCTCCGGACGCGAACCGCCGAACACGTGGCAGCTGTACGGAGAAATGACGCCAACTCTCAGGCCGCGGCCCATTCGACGAGATCCGGCCACACATTCAAACTCGATGGGGCCGAAATGCTCACGAGAGTGGATAATCGCGTGAGCCGCGAGTTGCTTGTGTCATGGTTCACGGGACCTCAGTCTATCAACAAGTGCATTGGCATCCCCACTCCATATTCTGTCCTGAGGCAAAGACTGGCCAAAGCAATTGACCACTCGAGGAGCGCGCAAGCACGTGAGCCAGATGGCCGAGCAATCATCACGCCAGCATCCAACACGGGTGATGAGATGTCAACAATTAACAACTTGCATGCCGGCCATCAAGCAATTAGCGCACCAGCGAGCAACAATCCTTGATGACGGAGCACGGTTAATGGCTGTAGGTATGCGGTAGCATGGCGACCGCATCCTATAAATACTGTGACTTCCTGTACGCTGAAAATTTTGAACTTACGATTTCAAAATAAAGCGCATTCCTCTCTCTCTCTCTCTCTCTCTCTGTACACTAGCCACCCTTTTCTGCAACTGTCTCTGATGATGGATTCAAGAGAGAATCCGAAACGTCAGGCGAATAAAGTCATTGTTCCAGCGATCGCTTCTTCTTCTGATCATCTAGTTTATGGAACTCGCATCTTCGCTTGTATCGGCAATTTGTATTGCTGTCGAAATGATTAAAAGGAAAGTATGGACAAGCAGAAGTCTTGCTGTAGCTGGGGTTTGGGAGGAGGTCTCGGTGGGTGAGGTGGAAAACGGAATTACCGTCAGTGTCACGGGGTAGAAGGGAATGGTGGCCACTGGGAGGGGTAATTATACGCAGGTAGCCGACATGGTGGCCTTGGACCATGGTAACTGTGGGGCCTGCACAAAGTTCTTTCGTGCGCATAGAACCGGTTTGTATAGCTTGATTGCAGCCGCCTCTTCTGTTGCCAACAGACGCTGTCCAACTGATTTTGGATAGCTTGACGGGACCTTGTAAATCACTCGGAATGCCTGTGCGGCATCTACATAGTGATCTGTTTCAACCATGTGGGCGTGGATAGAGATGTCGATATTCTTTATTTGGCTTTTTCATAACATTTCTGAAGGTTACCTCTTGCTCTTTTAGACAAACGCCGGCTCGTGCGACCAATATAATCCGCCCCACAGGAGCAGGTGAAGGAGTAAAGACACATAGTAGTCTGGGCTGGCAATTTGTTTTTTCCCTCTTCCTGTAGCATGGGGTTAGTGGAGAAGAGTGCACGGGCGTCAGCCGCTGGAAAGGTGTGTGATACTGCTTGAGTTTTGCGCTTTCTTAGCAGTTCGCTTGGCGCGTCCCCTTGGAACGAGACGCTGGCGGAAAGCTTCTTCTTTTCTGCTGTCAGCATCGGGACTTTGGTGGTCTTTTGGTCATGTATTTGGCAATGACTCGATCGGAGTACCCATTCTAGCGAAAGAGATTTTTGACAATCGTTAGTTCTTCCCTAATGCTATAGGCCGAACAGATCCTCCTTACCCCTTACAATTGGTCTGGCAACTAAGCTCGAAGGCTTCTAGCAGTAACATGCATATCCATAAAGTCAAGAATGGTCTGCTGGGAGTTTTAATTAAAACGCTTTTCTTATCGAAAAGAGTTTAGTCGTCGTTCTTATACGAACCTTGACAGCGGCACATCAAGCATTAAACAGTAGAATCGAGAAGTCGCCAAAACTGGGCTGTGAGCCTACCACAAGGAGAACATGGACTGTATTTCGCTTGGCGCATGACACAGATTTCAGCTCGAGTTTAAATGAAAGTATGCACTAAAGCGCCCGGAAAGCTAAACGATATTATCCAGGCGCCCGTAATGGAGCAAAATATCGAGAAATCCCCAGTGAAACTGCTGATTTTTAACTTCAGCTCGTCAACCTCAGGCTTCCAAACATGAGTAGGGTTTTTACGCAAACGTGTGCACGCGACATCACGCGTGGAAGACAGCCAATAGTATGAAGGCAAATCTGTAGGTCATTTTTAACCAATCAGTGTGCACTGCAGATGCGACTGAGCGAGAAGTGCAAGCTGCTGAGTTATCCTCCTCCTCAACTACCGTTGCTCAAACAAGCACCAGAAAAATTACGCAAAGCAAAAATGAAGAGACGGGACTCTGCTGATCCACACATTGAATGCGTCGTAGTCGGAGATAGCAAAGTTGGAAAATCCTACCTTTTGTCAAGGTTAGCCAATCGGCCCCTGAAAGGAACCTACCGGCCCACCATGTTCGACATGGTTCCTGTTCAAGTTAACAGGGCTGGTGACACCGTTATCGTCGATTTCTGGGATACTCCCGGTAAAGTAATGCTGATAATTTTCTCAGTTTCTCAGTGCATCCCGCCCGTCCTGTTTTTTTTTAATTTAAATTCGCATGCAACAGTATCCAAGAGTTCATACATGGCTGACATGCATTCTACCATACTGTGCCCGTCAAATATCTTGTTCTTACAGAAGACAATCATTAATGAGCTATCATAGGAGCCCGAAGAGTAAGCACATATAAGTTTCTTTACGTTTGTCGCCAATCGGTCATGTTCCAACTCTAGTCCAGTTTACATTACGCTGAAGACTCTGTCATTCGAGTCGTATACTCAGACACTCCTTATGAGGACACGCGTCTATCTCTTCTACTGACCTTGGGCCGTATTCAATAGCGTGAAGTAGTGTAAGCTGTTGAAGGCCATATTTGGCATTGAGTTATGTCTCTGAGTTCGAAAACTTAGCTTTTGAAGAAAGGGTAACGCCATAGCATGTCGTCCTTTGGGCGGCTATACTTCTGCCTCACTGAATAAACAATTTTAGAGAACTTTTAAAGGGAAAACCTGGGGATATTTTTAAAATTTCAGTGTAAACATTCCTCAATCGCTACAGAAAAATCTTTTGCGTAAGAACTGCACTTTTAACTCTAGTGTCTACAAGCAGCAGGCTAGGTTTTTAATATCTTTCCACTGGGTCTGTGGCGACAACGTCCCTATGCTTCTAGATTCCCCCATATTTTTATCTGGTAAATTGAGCCGGCAACGACATCCGTTCGGAGGAGTGCTATTCAACTCTTTTAAAGCCTTTAGTACGCCAAAAACTTCCATGCAGAAGTCATGAAGAGGTTGGGGTAGAAATTACCCGGTGGTCGAAATCGGACGGTCTTATATCCAATTTATCTGAAAACAAAGAGAGGAATGGCCAATGATGTCAGGGTAGATAGTCATTTTGATAAGCTGCGGTCTATTAAAGCTGCTGTGACGTCTCATGTTGGCATAAATGTTGTGGCTACTGATGGTGGTGTTGGGAATGATTACGTTCGAATATATAAATTTTTCTGACTAGGCCGATAAAAACTGGCGGACGACGCAAAATTTCCTCCCCTGTTGCTGTTTACATTGCTTCAGATATTTTGGCCTAGACTAGGGCCAAAAATGGTCGATTTTCGTTGATATCCTTAAATTCCTGCGTGAGACTTTGCATCCGGCCCCGATTATCACAGCATTCAGTTAATCATCTTTTGATCTCGAAGTATCCTCCGCAAGGACAGGGATGCTAGAAGACTTAAAAGTTGTGGGCGCACCCAGATTGTCAGTGAGCGTATTATTGCGTCATCTGGATCAGTTGAATCGCGCATTCTGCATTGCAGTCAGGACTCGTCGAGGCAATCCAAAAACCACTTTCAGTGGGAAAGCAGGGCCGGATAAGAGCGTTTTACCCTGTTCTGCAGCTCATGTCCATAACCCATAGAGGCTAATGCCTATCGACGAAAGATTGTCAAAACGTACCTAAGAAGGAGAAATGAAAGGCGTAATCCACCAGCCGTGGAGCTTCTAGAGCGCCGGGCCCAATTGACATCTGAATCTGAAATCAGAGCTCAGATCTTTCCGCCTTGAACTCAGTTGATTGTTGGTGCCCATCTAATCCAAATATGCATTGCAGCTACGAAGATAGCTAACCTGAACTTTTTAAAAGAAGTAAGTACAGTCCTGCTCACTCGTCTGTGTGGTAGTACAGAATTTTTAATTGTCAGAGGACCGTCTTGGTGGTCATTAGGCAAAAGCAAAAATGACAGCTTATATTCTAAACGTCTGTCAGGTCAGGTCGGAAACCAGCTCATTTATGATAATATCAGTAAGTAGAGTGGCATTGCCGACAAAGATGAGGGAGAGGAAAATTGCAATTTCTGGCTTACCGGCCATCGAAAGGCAGTTATGCCCAACTCTGAAGTGTGAAATATCTGGGGCTCGATCCCACGACCCGTTGGTTAGAAGCACAACGCCTCTACCCACTAAGCTACGGGCTCATGTCCTGTCGGTTGCAATCGGGTATGTACAGTGTCAGAAGAGGCAATCACAGATCGTTTTTAAGGAACTTACTAGTCCAGTTGTGCCTTACGGACTCTCTCTCGAGCCCAACCAACAGCCCTACAACGGCGCATGGCATAGGCAAAATATTATTACCGACAAAGACATGGGAGACTGAAGTGACCATTTCTAGCATATTAACCGTCATGAATCGGTCAGACCCAATTCCAAACCTAGGGCTCGATACCGCGACCCGTTAATTAGAATTCAAGCGTTTATAACCATTGGGCCACGGGCTCGAGATATGGAGTCTAAATGCACAACGGGACAAGGGAGTTCCGTAACGCGATCGGTGAGCGCCCCCTACCATCGTAATCTACAGGACAACGAGCCTTTGGCCCAGTAGTTTGAGGCGTTATACTTCTAACCAAGAGGTCGCGGAATCGGAAATCAGGTGTTCCACACATCGCGTTGGGTATAACTGGCTGATGACGGCTGATAAGCCAGAAATGGTCATTACAGTCTCCTTCGTCTTTGTCGATGACAACATTCCGCCTATACCACGTGCCGTTCTGGCTGCTGTCGGGGGTCGAGAGAGTCCCAAGGCACAACACGAAGAGTAAGTTCCGTAGCGAGATCTGCGGCGCTCCCTTTACCATATCAGTAAGCGCCGATCAGATCCACTGGTTTACATCCTGATTTATGTCGGCAGGCGCAATAAAATTAGTTTTTGCCTTCCTCAACATTAGTACGCTCAATACTAACGTTACTGGGCACATTTTACGTGTGTCAAAATTCAAAGAACCCCTTCTATCGAACACGCGTTTTCACCACACAAAATTATTCGGGGTCAAACTTTTCTCATCTGAGAAATGCATGATTGATTAAGTCTGGGCGTATTAGCTTTTTTTCAGACTGAACCCTCTAAAAGACTAATCTTTTTCACTCTGATGTGATCAGTCCAATTTATCTGGTACGTAATATTTGAATGAATATTCCGAGCCTCGGGATGCACAGTTTGGAGTGGACAAGCCATTGTTTCGCAACTTTGTTTATTTTGCGTTTACGCAGTGGTGATGCGAAAGGAAATTTAAAGTGTTTGTCCTACTTGGGGCTCGTCCAAGTCTTGTCTCAAAATCTGCCACGTTTTTTGTCGTCCCAGTGGCTATCTAGATCACTTCACCAAACGCTTCTCTTATCTCGGCATGCTGGTATTCGTTATTTCAAGTACACTAGCAGTCTACAGGCTATTGGGTATCCTCCATTCTGAAAGGTTCCTCAGATGGATACTTTTTGAAGTATTCGTGATTGTAAACAGAGACCTTGGTGGCATTACAGAGTGTAGTTTTAAATTAAGCCATAGGGCACGAGTAAAAGAACAGACTACCAAGTTTGTAGCATTTGGTTGAGGGGTTCTCATCGATGGTTTGTATGTAAATCACTCGTTCTCCCTCTCTCTCGAACGAGACAAACAGCCCACAGCGGCGCATAATATTGGAGGATTGTTATTACGGAAAAGACAAGGGAGACTGAAACGATCATTTCTGGCTTCCAAGCCGTTGTCCGCCAGTCACATCCAACCCCGAGGTGTGGAATACCTGGGACCGCGGTGCCTTAGCGCTTGAAAATAACCATTACCCAGTTGGTCGCAGTTGAATCAGCCGGAGAAAACAAAGCGGCTAAGTACCATTATCTCTTCGTAACCGCTTTTATTGGGGCAGCATTTAGTAAACATCGTGCAGAAAATCTCATGAACTGACTTTGTGATGAATGCTTATGAGAGTTCCCTCTTAAGGCACCGGATAATCGCAGTGAATGCGAAACACGATGCAGGGAAAATGAAGAAAAGAAATGCAGTCATGCTATTTCGACATTTCCACACTGGACAGCATTGAGGTATATCAGACGGAGGCAGTAAATACGAGGGACGACTACATGTGTCCGCAGTGTCGGCATCCTGGTTAAAAGTATCCGTTTTTAAAGTAGAATTTTTGCGTTAGGGTAGGATACAGGAGTCAACTACAGCCGTAAGGCCTGGGGATTTAAGTGTGAAAGACTACAGCACTAGCTATGTTCGAGCAGTTACAGGCCGCTCAAACAGACGGGCGATTTCCAAAGGGAATCTTCCCGGCGAGGAAAGCTGTTATCTGGATTTGTACGCATATGTTCACACCCGCCATTTTCCATTTCGATAGGATTCACTTATGTGGTCTGCAACTGTGCCTCGATACAAGCACTCTTGGTGATGCTCACAGGTTTCAGAGGTTGGCGAAATAACTCAGAGTACGAGACTGATTAAGAACTGTCGCTAGCTATTAAAGATTGTGCGCGCGTGGATACGTAATTTGTTGCTAAGTGACTATTACCACCGATTTTCACCCAAGGACTTCCAAAATGCTCACTCTTTCGAGTTGGCCCACGGAGTTAAACACTGAGTCAGCATGAAAGCCCATGCAACACTGTGTTACCCCTCCCCCTCAACGACGTTTCCGAAGAATGATACATAACTTGTATGGGATCACAGAAACGGAAGCCGTTTAGCTTAATCTCGAAGCTGGTCATGGGTTCTGAAATGCGAACTTCGATCCGCAAACTTCCGAGTCACCGCACCCAATACACTCTGCAGAATCATATTTACGTACATAGTGATTACTTCTCCATTGTTCCATAATGCATCCGGGAAATATCTTAAATTAGCAAAAAACTGCTGATGGTAATCCATCTTTGATTGTTTTCATATATACAGACGGGTTTTTTGAGCATAGGCATTTTTTAGGGATTTACACTAGTTGGTTTTTAAAATCTCGAGTGATTAGTAAGTTATGCGCCCATACTTCTGTGTCCGCCATTGCGAAAGTTTTTGCCTGTTTCTAGATAGATTAACTTATCTGAACGAGACTTAAATGCCGACTATCATGGAATGCACACCGAAATAAGCCTTGCGCCCTTCATAAGAATCCGCTCAATTCACTAACGCAATCATACGCCGTAAGCTAGTGCTTTTTTTTCAAACGTTGGCTCTTACTGCTGATCGGTATCAATTATTTTTAGATTTCACTCAGCAAAAAAGTAGATGCGTTTTAATGCACTGAAAGTCTAATAGACACGTGCTTTATAGATTTTCTCGTTGCATCTTGACACAACACGTTGGGCCTATTCATACCATCATATCGCCTAGGTAAATATCTTAATGTGAAAACATAATTGGAGGGTTTATTGAGTGTTCCATGCAATTCGACGTTCAAACGGGGCTTGACATCTTAAAGGTGCTGGAGTACTTGCTACCTGGATGCAGACTGTGTGTCAGCACCTGATTATAATCACAGAGCGTCAAGGTTGTTGCGCTGCGTTTGTTGGAGAGCACACAGTCATGACTGGAGCGTGCACTGGAGTTATTTTTGGCATGACCTTAAACGCTAAACGGTCTTGCTGGATTGTTGGAAGAAACAGAGAATATTCGTGGTCCGCGAATATGCCAATACACATATGCCAGACCCAGGCCTTTGAGACGGAAGTCGGGATGTAATCATCTCCTTGACTATGTGGACATCCGTTTTTTATCTCAATGTAGCCCTTGCTCAATCTGACACTTATTTGCAGTTAACGTTCTACCTTGATCTGTTTCTTTTGCTTAGAGAAATGTAATGTGGTATGTTACACAAAGGTTTGAAGACTCGGCAGCTATTGTGGAGTGCCCTAACACCCTCATGAAGGAAGAAGGAGAGTAGAGCACCGGAACACTGTCTTTATTGTCCTGAGCTTTCAGACACGCACAGGAGTCTATCGTCAGAGGTAGCAGCACCAGAACAATTAGCAAAGTGTTCCGGTGCTCGACTCTTTTTCTTTACTTAAGCATACAGCTGGAACTCGAAATTTCACCCTCGTGATTATTCCGGGGACGTTACGAACACATATCAAGTCCCAAGTCACTCCCTCAAGACACCATATGGGCATCCTCAACCACAGTTACAACTGACAGGATCGCCGAGGGTTGTTACTATGGCGATCTTACCCTTTTTTTTCCTAGGCAATTTGCTAATCAGAAATCAGTGTATTTTACGTCTTTTGGCTCCTTTTAATAGAGGTTAGCAGACGACATTTTATGGCACATTTGGCAAACATCTACGAGTTCCTCTAAAAGTTGCTCGCCTTTTCCGCAAATTTTCAATTGGCCTAAAGAGAGTGTTTTAAAGTTGAAACCACTTTTTAGTTACGCTTCAGTCCGGCGTATGTCTTTAAACGCTAGCTAGAAGATTAAAATCATTTTCACCTTACTGGCAACACGTCTTCCAAATCGACATTGACTTGTTACGTATTTCATGCGCTGGATTTTATATCTACTTCATCCTTTAAATTTGCCTGGAAGGAAGAACTTTGTTTGACGTGGATGAAGTCCTATGCGTTTTTTCCAGCAACACGTAAACTACAGCAGCCGCTATCGCGGAGAGCACATTTGTGTTGACTACGTCCCCGGATGTCTGGGTCGGTTCCTAATTTCGGATGGATCAATCCACTTGTTTATCTAGTTAACAAGAACTGGTTCTGAAACAATTAATGTGATTTAGTGTTGCATTGCTCCGTCGTCTAAGGAATGGTGATGGGAATAGCCGTAGAAACAGCAAGATCTAATGCAAATTAAACACTTCATGGGTTAGTGGTGTTCAGAGTAACAAGGAGGCAACAGAGAAAGTGGAAAACGCAGTCAGAGAAGACAAACGGATAAACGGCAAAGTAAAACAGCAACACGCTTAATCTGGGGTAAAATGAGATACTCTAGAAATGGCTTTACGGTTTTGGTTTGACGTTAATTCGTTCAAATCTGTAGTTACTCATTTCATGAGCTCACAAATGATTGCAGTTTTCGGATCATGTCTGGCCCCGACATTGAAATTCTCCGGTCTGTCTTCGTTCTGGAACGATCGCAAATGCGCGCCAAAATCCGTTTTTTTGCTCTTTAGCAACGGTTTGTTTAATGGGAAAAACTGGATTTTAAGTTTGCCCAACTTGTAACAAGAGCAATGCGGTTGCCACCACAGACCATGCAACCCTTTGTAAAATTTGCAAATACGCAGTCGAATAGGAAAGATTACTTAATCGGGACTAGAATATTTATTTATACGCAAAGTTATTCCTGTCCAATCCATACTTGGAGACATGCTGGTTTATAGTCGCAAAGCCAGCGCTCTCTGCTAATCGCACTGGCATCCATTTTTTCGCGTCCGTTCTGCATGCAATAGCTTTGAGCATATTCCAAGGGCAGCTGCCATGAACAGCTTTCGACAAAACCCTTACAGACTCTTGCAGTTAGTAGGCAATAGCTCATTGGAACGGAAATTAGTGGAATTGGCGATAGCGATTTTGAAATGTTTTGAATTATTTCATAGGAGGGGGAGTGTGTCGATTTCTAAAACAATCTTTCATCCTGACGGAGTTTCGGTAAATGCAAAATTTGGTGGTTGAAGCAAAGTCACGGTAATTTTAGACTCCCACATAACACTTTTTTATGCACAAAGGTTGACTACAGATTTATGTTTCCATTCTCTCTGCTGCAGGTAAAGGAGCATTTGCGTTCTGGGGAAATCCCTTGAAAACCTCTGTTTGTGAGACTGCTTGAGAATTATCCAACAGAGGTAGTTATGCAGTTGCAATTAGGACAGGTTGAACGCTGACACCAAGGAAAGTGGATGAGGAGTGCACTTTCAGGGCACTATGAATTCCATCATTACGCATCACCCATTACGCAGCGAAATCTTGCTCATTTCGCACAAAAATACATTTTATTTGCAGGTAACCTTTAGGGAAATTGATGCATAGGTATAAATATTTGGAAACCGCGTAAATGAATTATTTAGGGTGTGATATTCACAGGCTCATTGGCGTTTCCCAAAAAAGTATGCGAAATGCCCTAAATCCACTAAAACAAGTGCATATTCCCTGCGTAAAGTGTGGGTCCAAAATTCTGAAACCAGGCTGGAATGAAGGGTTTAAGCAGATGTGTTAATTGCTTGATTTTTTAATTTTTAAATATGCCAGCGCAGCATCTTAGGCAGGCGTTTCTACGCACGAAAAGGCACAGGAAAGGGAAGACATAACTTAATTTAAACAAGCATTAAAAATCGGAAAAATGTACTAAAGTAAGCCGTGGTATTTTTTATAGCGTGACAATACGATTGGGCATATCGACTATTAGCTCCAAATCAACCAACACTTCAAAATCATCTAGTTATCTTTTGTACGAAAGCCCACCTAACACGTTCGGTACGCGCAGTCATGATTTGTGCGAAAATTCTCAGTAAAGTAGTAAACAAGTTTGACTGACGGAATGATAGTCACCAAACAAGAGTGAATGCGCTAGTCGCCAAATCAGAAAAATCCATCCATGCTTCCCTTCATCACCGGTTGTCGCCCGCCTCGCCAAACGAACACTCCACCACGAATGCCATCAAAACAGTCCCTTGTTATCCATGAATCGATTTTTACAGGAGCGTTATTTTACATAGGTTCTTCCCACAAATCACGCGCACTGAGCACCGCAAGTAGCAGAATGTTGACAAAAATCCCCAGATCGACTTTCATTTAGGAAAGACTGCCTATATCTACTTCACCATGAATTAATACACAAATTTTGAACAGTGTCAACTAGAATGCATACTGGTTTTCTGTTAAAATTTTTTCACTCGAAAGGCACTACATATGCTGAGCGGAAAACTCGTGAAAATCGACCAAAAACTCCAAGATACTCCGCAGGAAATTAGTAGCCGGCTTCCTACTGCACCGAAAGACCGTGTGCGTTTTCGTACAGAAATTACTACTTAAAAGGGTTTCCAAAAAAATCGGAAAGTGGTCCAGACAAGCATTCTGATGTTCAATTGGGCGTCTTCCTAGCAAACTAACTGCCCCAGTAGGACACCGTTTTCACTAAATTCCTTTATTCCACTAATTTCTTTCTAACTCTCAGGAAAAAACGAATTTAAATGTTGAAATTGAAAAGAAGACGATGTCTGATTTACCAAATTCACTAGACCTATTAGGCTTCAAATTTGACAATTTTTTTAGTAATTAATCTTTTGCAGAACTTGCCTGGAAGGAATTCAGTCTGCGCTTAATTCCAGAAGGCCTCATTACCGTGGTCTAACGTTGACCCTAAGCCTAATCCCAGTTTTTAATCCAACACTCCTAATTTGAATCCCGACTTTAAAAGCCTCTGGAATTGGGCGCAAGTCCACTTGTAATACTAACGGCCAATATTCCCATGCACCATCTAAATTCATTTATCTGATCACAGCTTCATCACAACGCTTTCTATCTTTTGCAAAATATTGCCATGGGCTTGGGTTAGTCAGCACACTTTGGAAGCAACCTCAGCAAACAGTGGCAATTTGACCACAGAGAAACCTAGTCTGTTATCTGATAAAGTGTCTCAACCACAGCCTAAGTGTAGAACGGAAGCACGCTATTCCTTAAAATTTTAAAACGGAGCTAAGGCGTCGCTGGTTACTAGTGAACATGAGACAAGTTCTAGCTTCACTATTTCAGGAGCCATAAATTTGAGGCGCAGAAACGTCGGAAAAAGTATATGCATTGATTTAACGTCGATTTTTCCGAGTTTGGAAATAGGCTCTACCAGAATGCTGGCTTTAACTGTGGAGGAAACTACTTGTTAGTCAATCCTGTACAAGTTTCTCGTGCTATAAGTCTCTTTCTCAAGGGCACCACTGAGATTTGGTCTGTTCCTCATCATTTTCCGCTTACATTTTGCATAGCATGTATTTTTCAAGTTAGTTTTCCTTCTTCTTGGGGGCTTACTCACAATTTCCAGGAAGAGTATACAATCTATTTCTCTCTAGGTCTCCTCTAAAAGGATTCTTTTTTTGTAAAGAAGCGATGAAACATTTTTTGTATGCAAGCGATCTTTTAATCAGCGGATATCCGAAAACATTCCATCAATTTTGCATTTTCGGAGCATTTTTGCCTTTTTGCAAAAATGTCAGACGGACCTGTATGTGTTTTCACTTAAGGCTAACTACTGCTCCTCTTAATGCAACCACTAGCAAACTGCGTGGTTTTTATAAACCACTTCGGTTTATTCATGTACGGTTGTGTACATTTTAAGCCACAGGGATATATTCACAGACAATGGGCTCACTTGAGATTGGCGCGTACCAGTCTATCCTTACTGACTGAAGGCTGTGAGAAATTCCGAATTATCTTGAAGCTGAGAGTCTGCAGTCCGCACAGGCGATTGCATGTCAGTGACCACTCGTCAATTAGGAACAGTTGACTTCAAATCTGATGAAACCAACATCATAGTGTTTCTGATGGTCATCGGAAAATCAGAAGCTCGTCCTTTTTCCTTCCTTCCAATGTTATCACCCTAAAAGACATATGCCTCACGGCAGGCTAGCAATGAGTGGTCGTAAAGCCGCATCTAAGGGTCTTCCCGAGTCCATGGATAGAAGTTGGAGCGGACCTGACTGCCCTGCCTATAAAAAGAAAATTTGAAGCTTGGTTCGGCTCTTTTAGCTTCTGATGCCGGGTAGTCATCTGGGAGTTTCTAGGTTAGCATTTTCGACAAAAAAGAAAGACTCACTTGTTAGCCGTCATCATTTAGATTGATAAATTACGAAATCCTGCTTGGGCAGTCGGCTTACTGTATCAAATTTCGATGGATTATAAACGCCGCAGTAAGTTGGGCGTAAAATGTTACTCATATTTGGTAAAACCTATGGTTTCCGTTGGGGTCGAGTAGATTAGGTGGCTAGAGCGTCCGCTAAACTCAAGTATTCTCTTTGCCGCCATGCTTTCGCATCCCACCAAGGTTGTCATATTTTTCACAGATGGATCAGGCCAAATTATAAATGCGTGTTTGATACGATTAAATGTGCAAATGCCTGTCTGATGTCGTATACGGTTTGCTTTAATTGATCTTTTTAGATCATCTGTGTCCTTCTTCCCGCCGCGATTATTACATCTTACCCAAGTGTCCATAAGAAGCCCCATTATTTTACATTGTTATAATTACACATACTTTTTGCTACATCTAATCAGGCATAGTTTAAGAGTTATGCAAACATGGAAACGAACAAGGACGTGCATATGAATATTGGAGGGTCCCAAATCAGTCTACGTAGTTGAAATATGCCTCTCACACGGTGCCTTGCGGCATTAATTAGGAAATCTTAGAATATTGGCATAACGATTAGCAATGATGCAAATGGAGTACGTTCGAAGAGAATGGAGGCTAGGATGGCCAATGCTGGCTTATTAGTCATCATCAGCAGCTTGAATTCGATTCCGAAATTTTTGGTTATTGTTTCAGACGCCCTTCCCTCGAGCTAGGGGGTCACGATCTTATCGGTTGCGATAATGACTATTCACTTTCGAGATGGAGGCGCATCCAGATATGGTTGCGATAGATGCTCACTTCGTTGCAACCTGAGGACCAATCTGAAGTGCCCACAGGCAGTCACACAAAGACCAGTACGCATGCAGATGGAGGTATAGACAAAAATACATGAGAACGGAATGATTTTTTCCCGGCCTATTTTCTGTTTTTTTACCTGCAGAACCAAACCCCCAACTAAGATAAGCCAATGATTAAACTAAGACTCGTTAGTTTTACCTAGGATTGGACGTCCCAGGCTTCCTTTTTCTCACCAATATTTATTCTGCATACCATTAACCAAAGGAACGACAAAATTTTCGAATGTGCTTAACAGAGTTAACCGGAAAAATCCAAAAACGGAAATAATATTAAGCAGGAAAAACTACAATGTAGACCTCCTGTCCGTCAGTAATGCCTACCTATGTAAATAACCATTTTATTCCCCATACACGTTTACATACGTTTGTCACTAGGTCTTTTCTTTTAACGACCATCGTGTGTGGTTTATGGGCAGTCTACTCATGTACTGTACTCGAACGAATTTGTCACCCGAGTTTCCTACCTGGCATCCTGTGTTGTGGATAGATCGTGTATGGCAAGCGCCGACGGACTGTCGGATTCTGTAAGCCACTGAGCCTAGTCCTCCGATCAAAGGATTAATTTGCTCTGACGAGGGACTGCAGAAGGAAGATAGGGAGAGGTCGACTCTAGGGAGTTTCGTCGCTACGGCATTCAGTGCTTATTCCTCACTATAAATAATCTGAAGCACTTTTGAATAATCAGGCTGTGCTAAGAGTACAGACCTCAAATCCTGCGAGGTGATGGGGCAGCTTGGTCCTCTTAGGATAAAGAAACAGGCTCCTCAGTTTCGTAAGAACAGTCGGTGAGCGCCCGCTACCATTGTATATTACCGATCGAAAATCGATAGGGCAATGGGCTCGTGGCCCAGTGGTTAGAGGCGTTGATTTCTAACTAAGAGGTAGCGATTTCGAGCTTCGGGTTTTCCAAACTTCGGGATTGATTGTGACTAGCTGACGACGGCCAACAAGCCAGAAATGGCCATTCCAGTCTCCCTTGTCTTTATCGGTAATGCCATTCTGCCTATATCATGCGCCGCTGTGCGGCTGCTGGTTGGGCTCGAGAGGGAGAGTCCATAAGGCACAATGGAACGATTGAGTTCCGTAAGGACGATCGGTGAGCGCCCCTACCACAATAGCTCCTTCTTAATGTGGCCTTCATGACACTCAGCTGGGATGCGAGTCGGCTCCTTATTGTCTTGGTGAAAGCCTAGTCCTCTGTGTACAGAGCAGGAGTGTGCGACGCGCGCGGAGGGGCCGGTAAGTTTGTCCCCAGATCCCACCTCCGGTCTTCTTGACTTTGTCCTGACCTCAGGCTCATGATGGTGAGAGAGCAGCGGCGCGGTAGATGCAACGAAAGTCTCATACTCCCATAAATTGATTTACGCGCGGCTGAACGTCCCTGTACCAACCCTGATGTGCGTCACACGGTGGATATCGTCGATAACGACGGTTAAACTGACGCATTTACTGGGATGTTGACAGCCGCTAGTTCTATTTATTTCGGCATGCGTGTACAAAAACTGGACAACAGATGATTTTAAATTCATTTAAGTTTTCGAATCAACCGAAAGGGGTTCTCAAACCCACGACACTGGCGAGGTCCCCGGTAAGAGCATAATCCAGACTTCTATGGGAGGAGAAGCCTATTCTGTACCGAGAGGACAAGCAGTGGTATAAAAGACCGCAGTACTGAGTGTATGTGTGTCCCCCAAACGGGCCACGTGTTAGATGTGCTGGACCAACAGGGGTGCCACTTCGGTTTCTGGAAGAAAGAAGCGACGTGGGGCGGACAACGAGATTACAGTTACTGATCGATCCCATTAAAAATTTAACTAAAGTTCTAAGATTCGTTTTTGAGGGGGAAGGGTTATCTAACTTTGGTTGCGCTACTATTTATCCTACAGCATAATCCAGTGGCATTCCGGTCCCTCCAGAATAATGGCTTCTAAATTAATTTCTTTTCGGCCGGTAAAAATTTATAACTTGCTTAGCGCGGATTCCTATTATCGATTTTTCGTATCCTAATAAACTCAAATTTATTTTATATGAAACACAATCAACAATATGCCTTTATTTACTCACTTGGCCGCAGATCTCGTCTTCAAATTTTAAACTCGAAAGCAGTGTATCTTTTAGTTTTAAGAAACCTTATAATCACACAATTTTTAAGGTTGCTCATTTTCCATTCAAATACCACTCTACCCGCCCTTTTATTCGTCAGCCGTATCGGGCATGCAACATATTTTAAATCCATTGCAATATTTTTTGACTCCTTTATGTGTTTGGCAGATTTCGAATAACTCATTCTGACCCAGCTCCTGCTTTGCATCCTCTTGATGGCATAGATGAGTGTAGTTTCTTGCATGGATGGTATAAGGTTTGTAGACTGTAGGTCATATGCGCAAACCCAATATCAAATAGGGCTCGAAGTTATTATAAAAGTGGAAACCCCCTTTCGAAACCTAAAGATACTATCCTTCCAGTATAAAATTTCAAAATATATACGAGAAGGAAAATTTATATGTATGTTTTCTTTAGTATCATTTGCGTTTATAGAGCATCGAAAATCAACGGAAAAGTGAAGAAAACATGGGCAGTCGCTCTATGAAGTCATTTTTGCGGGCGGCCGAAAAAGAGTGCGTTCAAAAGCCAACATCCTGGCGTATCCGACAGGTCATGGATCATGCCGTATAAAAGTCAACACTATAGCGCCACTTAAGTTATCCCTCCTCATCGGCAACGCGCTTCCCAATTTCGGTCACTATTTCACGAGATCGGTCACCGACTGAAGTCCTAGAGGGTCTAAGCGTTTTAAGCCTGTGGACGCTGTCACACATATAATATAACAGGACAGACAGTTACGCACAGGACCCCATATGGTCATTCAAGCACTTTCTTTCCTTAAACCGCACAGATCTGGCTGTCCATACGCAAATTACCGGACAACAAGCACGCTCGAATAACGAAGTATGCTGTGAGCGAGTGCTTCTGGAAATTCCATTTCAGAACTACGCAGAATGGAAGAATGAAGAAAACCAAACGAAAATTAGGCTGAAAGTGGTGTCCACTCGTAGTGAGAGGTCCACAGTGGGACAGTTGTCCGGGTAAGTAAGAAAGACAGTCATTCAGGACGGCTTGGTGTGCGTGAGGATTCAGAACTGTGGCCAAAACTGCATGTAGATAAAGGCGATCTGGTCATGTCAAGGTGGCACCCCTTAATCGCAAAGCAGCCTTCTACTGCCTCGCTCAAAACCAGCTGAACGAAGTTCACAGCGTCAGTTATTTAACGCAGCAGCTAGCATTTCCAGCTCAGATCACGCGCAACAGGTTTCAACGGGTCAGAGTAGGGTTGCGGCAGAGGTCACACGCGTCATGCACACTGCGAAAACTGCAACACTGACGGAAGATGTGTATCTGCCTGACCGACAGGCCACCCCCCCACCCTCCACCTCGCAAGGGTCATTAATGGTCCACGTGCTTGTGTGCGCGCGTGCAAAGTGCGGTTTCGTAACAGATCACAAAAACGCACACACACCGCACGGAGAGCATGTGACTGCATGTTTGCTCAAAGTGCTTACTTTTCTTCCAACCTCCATCGTCCTCCTGAACATACACATATGTGAGAGGTCAACGCAAATGCAACCACTTTGGGGTTTGAGTGATGCATGCAATATAGGGCCGAGTGTTTACGGTAGTTGGGATTGTTCTACTACTATATTTTTGCTGGAAAGCTCTGTTGTACACCAGGAAAAGAAAAGATAAGAGCGAGCAAATTTGCGCAGCGATTAGTTCGAACTTCTTCGTATCCACCTCAGCCAATCAACCCAAATGTGATTGAACTCGAGTCGTCCGGCGGGGTCTCGTAGCTCAAATGGTTAGAGCGTTGGCTAACTAATGCCTTCTCCTTACTGCTTGGGTTCGAATCCCACCGAGGCGCTGAGTTTTTCACAGTTGGGTCAATATGAATTAGTCAAAATCTGCCAAAATATCAATGAATTACGTGAGCCTGGTAGTCATCTGGTGGATTATGGGTGAATTACTTGGGAAAGCCTGCTTGGGCAGTCAATTTACTGCATCAGATTTGATGGATTCCAGACGTTTCAGTAGGTTGGGGGGGTAAACTTGACCCAAATGTGATTAAACTCGAGTCGTCCGGCGGGGCCTCGTAGCTCAAGTGCTTAGAGCACTGGCTGTACTAAAGCCTTCTTCTTACTGCGTGGGTTCGAATCCCACCGGTGCGCCGAGTTTATCACAGTTGGGTCAATAGGGATTATTCAAAATCTGCCAAAAAACCTATGAACATCTCGTTAATTTCGGTTGTTGACCAGTCGCTAAACCGTTAGCCTCACTGAGTAGTCAAGGTCAGTCCCGATAGTGCTCTATTTACAGAAAGACGGAGTCTTTTTCTCATAACCCTTTTTGGACTCATTACTAACATGCTGACCTTCTGCATAAGTGTCAAACAGTGTGCGCATTTAAGAAGACCCAAGCAGAATGGTGAGTGTAATTTTCCCCAAGAGCACTGTTGCCTAATTAAGAGTAATTGTAGTGGAAACTAGGAGCTTATTGGGGAAACTGGGGCTTTTCATGTCCCAACTGCAATCACCTGAAAAAGGTTGAGAACAAATTAGGCCGTGGATTTTTTAGCAATTAAGAGATATCATATCATCGGCAGCCCGGTGAAACGTTCTCCGCACATTTTTGTCCCAGTAAAACACGGCAAATTATGACCAGTGTTTACCGCCTGTAACATTCATTGTCTTGACAACCGGCGACATACTTGAGGTCCCTTACATTTCCATGGTTACCACCAGAGAACTCCTGCAAGTCGACATACAATGTGGCAATTAACCAACGCTATGCTTAGCACAAGACTTTCCCATCTCATGAGTCATCCCGATGACTGCGCTCTCAGGGCCTTTGAGTACGGACGTCTGCTTCCAGGTCTATGCCCCTCTAAATGACCACCTCCCCCCCCCCAAGCGGAAGGCATAGTAACCCCAAGAGCTCTGAGAATTAGAGCCTCGATTGCCAGCATGGTGGCAACAGGAGACATTGTAGCCGTCCATTATCCTTGGGGTCTGGTGTGAAGATAGGCGACGTGTCATGTGGAGAGCTCTTCAGACAGCCATCTACTCAGCTGCAAAGGAAGTGACTAGGGATAAGGCCTCCAACAGATTTTGTCTCGTTATATGGGAAAATTGCAGAATAGTCCGCTTATGGACTACTCGGTACATTGAAAAACGTGTTAATTAGTAGGGAATAGGGACGGCCAGAACCCTTTCAGCACCCTTCCCTTTTGGGCCAACACATCGTGAACGTCAGCAGAGATTGAGTATAAATGGTGACGTGACCCAAGGTCTGTTTTCTTAATGATAGTGACTTTGACAGATTTAAACGAATGCTGGGGCCTTATGAGACTTCTACCATTTACAGTCATGGCAAAACTACTTGGCCACCGCATCAACGTTGTACGGAGAATCTAAACAAGGTCGGGAAACCTCGTCGATTTATAAAAGGTTCAGGAAATAGAAGAAACATGGACAATCCAGCGTCCACTGTTACCACTTCTACGGTACATTTGTCGATGGTTGACTCAATAACCACGACATGTTTATCACGTCTCTGAGATATAAGTAGTGGCTTTGGAGTGAATTGGGAGACGGCGGATAATCCCCGCAGTTGCTCGTTCACTTCCTATCCATTTATTTCTCATTTTCCATGCACTCCAGCTCATCAAAAGGTAGGGATGAACGCAGTGGCTGACAGCCCGTGTATATCTGTCACAGACGACCTGACTTCTAAAAAGATTTATCGGATCTCATATGTAGGACGACGAAAAGAGGTCACACTTAAAAGAGTCATCGCAGCCTGACTCTCAGTCTTAAGAACGACCGGGGTATCGCGTCAATTGACAGCCTCCAAGCCACGCCTCCTAGCACGGCAAGATATTTTTAAGCGCCTCAGATTAACCGAAGTGAGAGCTGTGCTGATGAACCGTGAGAATGACTTTCCCGGTCTCGGTCTCGCCATCTCTTTCCTTTCGCATGCGCCCGGAAACCGTCCTAAGTTGGCGCATTGGATGAAATGGCATGAATGCCTAAGTCTAAGGTGTGCGGCCCAGCACACGCACATCCGTAATTATGGTCTCCCCCCCCCCCGGCGGCTTGTGCCGCTCACCCAAAGTACACGTGCCGAGGGCCAGTCTGATTGCTCCAACACATTCGCAGGATAGCCCGTTGCAGAGTCTAATATACAAAACTGGGTTGGATAGTCACGGCGGCTACCCTCGCCTTGTTTCGTTAGTAAATTGCAGAAGTTATTTCATTATGGGCTGATGCGTCTGGCATAACTTTGTGGAAGTGCAGAGGCAATATGCAAGGCGTGGCAGTCGAAACGCGATGATTACATTGGTCAAACAAAGAGTAAAATCCGTTAACTCCTCTCGGATGCCCAAAAAAATCGGTTGAGTAGTTATTTGCCCTTACAACCAAGCTCTGAGGAAGCAATTAGGGGAGTTTTCGTTGGATGCGACAGAAACACTGCCAAAAGGCAGCTCCTTTTAACCTTTTTCGCCTGCCTTTTCCCACCTGGGATGCTCATTAGCACACAGCCTGCACACATTTGTGCGATTATTTGTGTTGCACGCCCAGTACCTCATACTCGGCCACTCGATCATGCCACACGTGCATGGAATCGCCTCCGCCCGTAAGCCACCGTCTGCACTTTCGAGAGTACATGAACTTATTTGTGCACTGCGCAAACCTGCGCGACTTTTGTCTGTTATAACATTCATCTTCCCAGCGTTTGATTGGTCAGGTCTAGTTTATTGTGTTAGACGACCACCGAGCCAGAGAACAGTTCGATCGTCCTTGCCGTTGCAGCAGGCACGGTGACTTGCGCGTGGATTAGTTTATAGTGCTCGTTGACTTTCGCAGCATATATCGCACTCTCGCCTCCCCTCGCCTGAGTCCGGTGTCAAGCAAGAAGCTCGGAGGTGGAAGGGGGCACAAGTGGATGGCGCGATCGAACCCGCACCTTGGCGTTCCACTCCACACCCCTTGGTCCAGAGAACAAATGACCGGGATTCTAACCAAAATCAGTGCCAAGAAGGGTTAGAAAGGCGATGATGATGGAGCGGCCCTCCGCTTGACCTGTATAGCCATCTAGAGCGCAATAGCAGCTACCGGCAAAGGACCATCTGACAGAGATGTACTAATGCATACCAGGCTGAGAGCGACATGGTTTGATGAATTATGGTAAAGCTTAACGATCATACACCAAAATGTGGCAGACTGAACAATTGTAGCGTTAGTCACTGACTCCGAGAATGAGTCGCATCCAGCTTCTGAAATGCGCCTCAGCTCCTGAGGGTCGATCAAATAGAAGGTCATCTTAGTAGTGCTTATAGTGCGCTTTTGTGTTTGCGAGAAAAAATTCTTTGGTAGATTTAAGCTGCCATTAGCAGAAACTTTGGAATTGCGAATTAGGTTGTGGCGGAGAACTTGCGGCGGCAGAAGTCAGTAAAGGAGTTTCTGGATTGGAACGGCAAAGAAGTTGAAGGTGTCGTAGTGAATGCAGGTAAGCTTCGTACAGTCTGGATGATCAAAGAGACACTACAGTAGATGCGCTGCTCCATAAAAAATTGTTTAAATTCGTTTTTAATATTACCTATTGTAAGGCATATTTCTGAATTGTATTCCTCCCTGTCGTCTGTAAAAACACTGGGCACCTTAAAAATGACTACTTAAATATTTTGACTTTTTCACTTATTTTCGGAGCTCATATACATAAATGTAAAGAGATTTCATAGAAAACATGTAAAAAACATTCGTTTATTTGCTCGGTTAGTAGTAAGATACGTCTTCTTCAAATTGAAAACTTTAAGGAGGAGTGTCTTACGTTTTTTAGAAAGTTTTAAAATTTCCGAGCAACCTTTGATCTGACCCACCGTTATACTCTCATTCAGGGTTTCCGAACTACAAGTTGCATATTCTCCGTGAAAGTTAAACTACGCTTTCTAAACAACAGTAAGAAAACACCCCTTGTTGTTCATAAAATTTTGCGATAGATGTAAAGGACCCTGCATAGTTTTTCACCAACATTAGCAAACTGAGAGACACGCTGTCCTATGAATATGTATTTTAAGAGCAAAAAATTCCCATAATTAGGAACTTTTAAAAAGCAAAATTTACTGTGCCTTTAAACAATAATTAAGAGCGACGTAATTTGTCACTAAACAAACAAATAAACGAATATTTTTGCATCCGTCTTCTATGAAATATAAGTAAATTTATGACAGCATCGAAGGTCAGTAATATCGTATTAGTCATTTCTTACAAGGGGGAGATTTTTTTAGGCGGCCAAAAGGAATCACGTTCAAAAGCCAGTATTCCGACGTAGCCGAAATGTCTTAGCATTATGCTACACGGCGATTAGTATTGCAACCGCATTTTAGTAATCTTTCCTACTCGAAAACTCATTTAAAATTTCAGCGCATTCACTGTAACTTAAGCAACAACTGTAAATGTGTTTCCACTGTCTCGCCTAACATTGACCTACACTTTTCAACCGAGAAACTCAGTGCCCATAGTTCAACTATTATTGACTGTCTTTCTTACTCTTTTCGCCGTGACAGGCTGTCATGCACACGAAAAGGTCCGGGAATTATCTTACTCCGGAGCCCAGATATTTGCCATTTGTTTCTCTGTTGCTGATCCGGATAGCCAAAGCGCTGTGACGGAGAAGTGGATTCGTGAAATTCAGCAATGCGGTAACAAAGTCCCCTTTCTGTTGGTCGGTCTTCAAAGCGACCTCAGAGCTGACGTCGAAACATACAGACGCCTTCAGAGCACCGGGCGCGACTTTCCTACCATTACAGAGGTATTTAACGCCCTGCATTACTAGCTACAGGCTAGCAGTTTTAAAACCATGTAAAATAGTCTACCTGCAGAAAGTTAGTAGATCAATTGTTTTTACATTTTTATACAGACTTCATTGATGGCCCGCCGCATTGGTGCAGTCGACTATGTTGAGTGCTCCGCAATCACTGACATCGGTACTGATCGGCTCCTCCAGACCCTTGTCTCGGCAGTTTCCAAGCCCTCATTTGTGAGGTCTTTGTCTCCTCGAAGCTCGTGCCCTCTACCCCCGCCATCCTTCTTTGACAGAGACACCCTGAAGAAAATATCCGCTCCGCAAAACCTGCCCTTGACTGAGATGGCAACCAAGAAAGAGGTCCTGCCACCCTGAGTGCAACAATGACCGTTTTATTTTTTATGTCTGTCTTTTTACTCGAATTTTTCAAATTTGCAAAACTTATATCAACTTTATTATTGAATATAAACATTCCTTTATAGCTTATTGACATTTCTAATCGGGTGCACATTTTGAGTGCGATACGAAGCGTGCCCTCCTGCCTGGATCGACAGATTCCCGGACAGCGTCTTTTAACTGGGTGAACATGGTGCCTTCTAACTGCGACAGTTTTTTAAAGGAACGACTGATTATAACAAGGTAGAAACCATGTCTTCACTTCAGTTGACGCTATAATTTCCTAAGAAAATGCGGGTTTTTGCATCCATAAACCATTAAATATGATCTAAAAGATCAAAAAATAACTGATAGTATAGAGTTCACAGTCGCATCTGGAGCACAATTCCCTGAAGAACGGAAAAACGCCACATGGGTTGCAAATTACGGCTGCAATATGCACTGTCAAGTAACTTCCATAAATATGTTGGGTGTCCAGTAGAGTTGCTTCGAGTGGAATACGCCCACGTCATTGATAGTGTTTTGTGCTAAAACGGAGCTCTTACCTTTGCGTTCTGCAAGCCGAGATTCCTCGACAAACCAGGAAAATGCAATTTAACTTTTACAAGCTGAGTGACATCGTACAAAATAAGGTGAGACGAGATGTATATATGTTTTATAAGTCTTTATGTGAAAACTTCGAGGAAGAGACCCTTATCGGATGGCGAAAAGGGCCACAAACGTTGTAATAACCAGCTCCCTCTGACTCCAAATTCATACTGTGTCCAGCTACTCTTTGGGCAAATTAACCTGCGTAGACGGAGAGAGAAATAAGATGGGAAGACTGAACGAATTCAGGCGTCCATGGTGTATACTTCTATTCCAACTGATCCCTCACAGTCAATAAGACAAGTCAATCCCCTGGCGATCCATCACTTCCACTCAACCAACGTGCTCTGTGCCGACGCGGGAATTAGTCCCCACAAACAATCCGTTTGTCAGATCTCGGTACAGTTGTTAGGAGTGCGTAGATCTTGCCCTACGAGTCACCGGAATTGGTCATTGAGAGGGTGTAGGGGCTGGCATTGCTGGTAGACTTTCTCCCTCGGGGTGGCAATATCACAGTCATCGGAGAGTTATTTATGTCCTGTGGTAGGCAGGACACCTGTCCCACGACGTCCTCCCTGACGGCGAGGGTAAATCAGAAATCTCATTTTTTTCTGGGCCCGCTCCAGACGAATGTGCATTCGGCATCCGTCTACTCAACTGAGAGCCGTAATGTGACCGTTGAGTTCGCGAGCGACCACAATTGCCTTCCTCTCCGGTGGATAGAATATTCCAGGCTGCTAGGTTGAGCAGTGTCACTCTATGCACGCTATACAACAAACCAAACCACGGAGCGCTTTAGAATAACGGATTTGAATCTGAAGCATGAAATGCAATCCGTGAGCTGTCCGAACTAGAAACTTTCAAGCCACACTGCGTCAAAATGTCCTCTCAGCATGCGCGTTGATGCTTAGCATTACTGACTACCGATACTAACAGGAAATTACAAACCACCGCCCACGAACTGATTGCCACATGAAGACATCTCAGTGAGAGGTTGTCACGTAATCTATCGTAACTGCCCAACCAATAATTTTGGCAAGACTGGAAAGCGGCGAATTGGTCAGCCATAAGCGAAAAACAGCCTCTAGCGTAGGCTTTGTATCGAGAATCAACGACTGTGAGGGATGTGTGTGAGGCTCGAAAATGAATAGTTTCCCTAATGAAAAGTCAGACAGACAGTCTCTATTGTTAGAGGGAACGAAAATACGGCTGAGTAATCGGCGGCAGCATCTCAGATTAGGCTTTGCTTTCCTGTGTATGCCTGCGCCTGAGCCACGTTCGCCTGCGGCCAGTCGGTGAAGTGTGTGATAACAACCGGCCTCACAGAAGCACTAGGCTGAGCGCGGAATACACGGGAAGCAACTATGCAAATGACAAGCGTATTCAGTTCAGTGTTATTGAGGAAAATATGGGTCTTCCCTTTTAAATCCCTATTTGTTTACTAGCGACTGTAAAACCTCAAAAACTGGAAAAGGTATCATAAAGGTAACATATAATAGGAAAAGCGTCAACGTTGTACAGTTAAACAAATTTTCTCGAATGTTAATGGCTGGAGCAGTAGAGCAGCAGTCGTTTCGAGTTTTGGGTGATAAATAATACGCCCGATGGCAAAAGGTGAATAGGTGCATGCCAGTGGGCCTGGGCGGTGGGTTGGAGACAATAAGAAATTCGATTTAAATGTTACTGAAATATAGCAAGTAGTATTATAACAATTGAATTTGTCAATGGTATTTGACAACACGACACATCGGCCGCCGCAGTAGACGATGTTCGCCGTGTGTCTTACAGCATGGTAGGCATAGGGATAGTGACTTTTGGCTGAGTTAGGCTTGGGCTGCATCTATCGCGCTCTCCCCTACCTAACCCGCCGAGTCCATTTTCGAGACAGACAGGAAGACCGGGACGAGATCGGGCGCAGTCGTTGACGAGATTTTAACGGGTGCCACATAAGCCTGGCCTGCGTACGATGAACAGAATCTTTGCAAAAACGAGAAGAACACAGGAAAACGATTGATTTCGTCCAACATGAGTCTGTATTTTGGCGCCGTCATCATCGTAAAGACGGGCATGATAAAACAATTTTAACAGCCTGCTCAACACAGTCTTCCCTGATATACAATTTACGAGGGAAGAAGGACAGGAACAACAGTTTTTCATCCTGGATCTGCTTTTCAGGGAAAACCTTAACATTAAACTTAAAATGACAGTTTATAGGAAGGTAGCGAAGACCACACACCTCATTAGTTTTCACAACAACCATTCAGTGACTAACAAACGAAAATGTTTGAAGACGCTCTTCAAAACCATTGCACTAAACCGGAGGACAGAGCACGTGAGGCCCGTTATTTCCGCGAAACTTTGGGCAAAATGGCTGTCCGAGGGCATTCATAAGTCACTGACTACGCGGTCGTCACCAGAGGACTCGAACACCAACCCCACCAACGATTTGGCATTCTCTGCCATACGTCAGTGACGTTCAAGAATCGACCGAGCGCATTGCTGCTGAGCTGGTTGTAGCGCCGAGAAAGCATAACAACGACCCACGAGGAGCTCGATCAGGTTGGCTGATCAGGCATTCATGCGTCTGTCACAGTGGCTGACTTTCAGAAACGACCGAGTGCATTGCTGCGGATTTAGATGTTGGACTTGAACACTGGCCCAAGACCACCATGCACAATAGGGTCATAAAAATCAAAGACCGATTAAAGCCTGAAGGGCAATCTGGAGTAGTGCCTCCCATCCAGTGCCAAAATTATCCTTATAACTTCACAGGCCAGACTGGACGCATGCTCAGATCGCGCATACACGAACATAAGATAGCTGTGCGACGAGGCAACGCATTATCACAAGTGGCCGCCCACACCCGCGAAATGGGTCACGAATTAAACTTAAGCGCCGCCAAAATAGTCGCCCGCGTCGGAAACAAAATAGGCCGCGAATCGATTGAAGCCTGGGTCTCGGATGAGAACTCGGTCAATCGATTTACCGATCTGGCGCCGGCGTACAGTGTTCTGCGCTGTCAACTCGTCTTGTTCCGTCGGTCGATGATTGGCCTACATGCCCTATAAAGAAGTGTTCCTGTGCTCGGCCCTTCTTCTTCTTCTTCACAGGAGCTTTCATTAAGGGGTCGTAACAGCCTGACTTCTCATTCGGAGGAGACTGAGTTATTCCGTCAGTTGGATGCCTTCCAGGCCACGGTTTTTAATGTGCCGTGATAGTTTACAAGCGCACCAGGTTGCTTATATTGACGGAACGGGCTGAGGCATCGTGGAGACAGAGCGTCCAGGGTCGACTTCACTCACGCTTTCCCCTTCCCAGTTGCCTGTTTTTGCCGATGTGCCCTCAAATGTGCGGATTTAGCGCATCTGGGTGATCGAGCTATGTCGCCCGTCAACGCGTACCACGCATGAGCTGCCTCAAGCAACACACTAGACTTTCGGGTTAAGGGTGAGCGGCTCAGACCGCACAAGCATGACAGTGCCATAAAGGTCATGCGGAGAGGAACCTAAAGAACGCGATTCACACGCGTGAGGTATTCAATGTTTGTGGTGGATGATATTGGACAGGTTTGAGCATGGCGTATGGGCTGGTGGAGATATGCGTGGAAATGTGTTTTTATGTGGCGTTTTGCTCAATTTTTTATCGAGGCTTATGGGAACGAAGAAATTCATGAGGCAGTTGAATGGGTGTCCGCAGTGCGGACGGTTGAGACAAGTAAGGCAGGTGTCCACGGTGTTCTGGACGGAGGCCTGTATCTGGCCGATGGCCAGTATGGCTTCCGAAATTCCCGTTGTTTGAGACGGTACTGTCGGCCAGGTGAGGTTGTCTATCGATGAGGGTTGGTCTCCAGTTGCTCTGATTCTGAGATTAGTGTATTCGCTCGCTGGTGCCGGTTAATGCATAACCACCTCGATATGCGTCTCCTCATTCACTTGCTCCTTTGCGGCAGGTAATATTGGTCGTATGAGTAGGCGTCTTTCGAAAAGAATACGAGGGCACCTTCTCGCATGGCTGGCAAAAGGTAAAATTAGGAGAAAAGACAGCGCTATCCTTGGATTCAGGATATCGTGGGGACCCCGATGAAAAATTTCGTGTGATTTACAAGGTCCCCTTCGGGCTACCCTAAGCTGCTGGGTCAAGGCTTGTTAGCAACAGCAGAAGCGGCCTCCATCAGGTTTCGAAAACCGACCATATGCGACCAGAAGAACCTTGTTCAGGCTCCGCGCTTGCCGTGCTCAAAGGTTGACTAACCACATAGAACTTTCTGCGCCCTTCCGCTCTTGCCTAGTCAGAAGTTTAAAAAAACTAACTTTTATTGATTTTTTCACTTCCTGTCCCATATAACTGTACTGGCTAGACGAGAAGTTATCGAAAGCGACGTTCGCTCGCCA